TAGTAATTGTTCAATAGTGCGAACAAAAGTAAAATGCGTGTTCTTGGAAAATATCGTTTAACGTTTAAAATATTCTAAATTAATAGAAGCAACCCACACTAATTTTAAGTCAATTGAAAGTGTACGTATTTTATCCAGTAATATCGGCAAAATAGATATTCTTCAGCGATCACATTCGAAAATATTGTTGATGGTTAGCAGCCATATTCATATCTCAGAACGACTTTGAGGAATCAACATTATAGTGTACATCTAAATTGAGTGCTGCCGTCGTGTGTGTGTTTTTTGATGTATACTCCAGTTGATTTCTGAAACTGCTGGAACAGTTTTCACCTTGTGGAGTCATTCAAAAAGAAGAATGCCCCGTGTGTCCCTCTGTGAACATCGGACACTCTTGATCTAAGCTGTTTATTAATGATGTAACAGAAAAAACAAAAAAAGAATAATAGTAAACGAAATGAGACACCATTTGAGACATAAAGTACTAGCGGATCTTTATGATCCATGTTGTACACTGGGAACAAATATCGTGAATGACATATACAAATGGACCCATGTTGGAGTAACAACAGAGAGAAGTAGAAAAGAAAAGAAAGGGGGAAAAGAAAGAAAAGACAAACTTAAAAACAAGAAAAATGATTAAAGTAGGTAAATAAATAAAAATAAAAATTAAGGAGAGCATGCACAGATGAGATGTTGTTGAAAGAGCACAAATGATAAATTTAAGCTATGCTGGGTAGTTCGCGAGTGTCAAGCAGCAGGAGTGAGTGTATTTGAAGAGAAAGACAAAGGTTTTATTTAGATAAAAATCAGAATGACGTAACTGAAAATCTTCTGGTATTGTATATATAGTCACTGACCTCTTTTACGATTATTGCTATCTCATCAGATGTCAATTGACGTTGTAATAATAATGTTTTAGTGTCGATTTTTTTGAGGGTGAGGGGGTTTGAACAGCAAGCGAGATCTGAACTTCCCAACAGACTGAATCAACCTAGTTTCTAAGGGTAACTCATTATATTCACGTAATGTACGAAATATTATTGATTCATAAACCATATTTAGCCGACAACGAGCCATAGGCAACAACTGCCTCTCATGACTCCGCAAGGAGTAACAAAATGACACTCTTTGTCTGATATGAACAAATTCCAAGCCTAGTAACTTCTCTAAATGTCCTTGACCATTTAAGATAGTGTTTTCTCAATTAGAAACACTTCACAAATGGCTCACCCATTCTCTTTTATTTCACAATTAATTTTGAACAAGAATATTCTTCTATTGACAATCTTCTTCTCTTATACACAACACTTTTATCTCCTTCATTTGATCTCAAGCGAACACATACAAAAAACCTGTTGTGCTTATCGTTGGAGGTGGCTATGGTGAGTCGAATTTGTGCATTTTACGACTATTTTACTTTGTTTTTTCTTTCATTGAAACAAGGTGGTCTTCAATGTGCCAGATTACTTGATAAATATGGTAAATTCTTTAATGTGATACTCATCGATCGGAAAACCTCTTTTTTCACAATGTTGCATCATTACGTGCCAGTGTGGAACTCAAATTTGCTCGAGACATTTTGGTGCCATACAATCTACTGCTCCCAAAGAGTAAGTAATGTCTAGAGTTTTGTGTGGGCAGCTAAACAATTGTCTCGTCCTGTTTTTTAAAACTGTTTCGCCACGAGATATCTACCAACAACAGCTTCTGATAACAAATGCTAACGAAAACTGAAACGAGAGTTACATAATCCATGTAAAAAAACCATCGTACGACGATCATTGTACAGTCAACTAACATTTTGAGAGTCTCGCCTCGTCCCGCAAAACTCTTATAGTCTCGTTCATTATCTGTCACGTCTTATTTCATTTCAGAATGTATTGTTAAACTCAGAGGATAGCATACAAGTTCACGGACGTGATGACCCAATGCACTTTGACTATTTAGGCATTGCTATAGGATCATTGTATGCATTTTCTGGAAAAGTAGCCGATCTTAAACAATCTCAAGCATTAGATCGATACAAAATGCTTCAAGAAACAATCGAACGAGCTCAACGTATTCTTGTTATGGGCGGTGGACCCGTTGTCATCGAATTATGCGGTGAAATTGCTACTGATTTTCGTAGAAAAAGTATTACTCTAGTACATGATGGTACAGAATTACTTGGTTCGAATGTATTCAATGGACTACGAAAACAACTCGAAAAACTCGGCGTCACTATAATATTTAATGATCGAATCGAGTTAGAAGCTGCTCAGACTAACCATACAGCTCCATAACTTAATTATATTGAAGGTAAAAATACATTTTTGACAGTAAAGGGCAAAAAAACAATCAAGGCCCATCTCACATTTACATGTACGGGCGCTAAAGTGAATACTGAGAGTATAAAAAGTGATCCATTGAGAGATGTCATATCCCAATACCTTAGGATATCAAGAAACAACCAGCAACGTACGCAACGGTAAAGCCGTATGTATTTCATCACTCACGATTTGAGAACTACAAGGTAATACCCTATGTATGATATAAACGACGATCTATAATGTTGTACGTTCACGTGATACAGTTTATTATTAGTAGATTCGCCTTCGGTTCGCCTGACTGATGTTTCGGTTCAGCCGAAACGGAAATAACAGAACATTAGTATAACCAAAGAAAGGCGATTATAAGTTATGGACTCCAAAACGGTATATGTATGAGCTTGTAGAGGAAGACTTTCTCTTCCAGTAGTGTATATATTATATGGAACGTGTTCTATAGAGCTCCACAAATTAGGTAGTCAAACTCACCGCAGTCTGAGGAGTCGATTGGTGTACGGGATTGATAGTTTTCGTTTAGCTTTGGCCAAAAATCTGACGAAAAAGGTCGGTCTATATTTTGTTTAAAAACAAAAGTCGCTCTACATTTTTCCGTATAATGTAAATATAGTAAGGAAGGAAATGAGGAATCGATCTGAAATTACTTTTGCTAGTACGACTTTTGATGCTCTATCTAGTGTAGAAGTTTCGTCGAGAACCAATGCATGCTTCATTAGTTATGAGCAAAACAAGTTGCAAAAAGTCGGTCTACATTTAATGCGGAAATTGACTTCCGCAAGAATGAAAGCTGTTTTTATCCCTACTAAATCATGCAAACTGTATTTTTCTTTAAACAGAGTTGTAGACCGACGTCTGATCTACAGTTAAGCCACTCCAAAAATTTCTTCAATGGGGGACTTTCGGGAAAAACTGTAAGAGAAGGTCGGTCTACAAAAAACGGAAAAGATGCTTGTAAAATGATTTCATCTAAAGAATAGCAAACAAAAGTAAACAAAGTTGAACACTAATCATATGGTTAGATTCACAATTCAATTCTCTACAAGATGCGCTGCTTTCTATTTCCTTTTACATCTGTTATATAACCAGAAATTCAGTTTTCTGATGATGATTCATCAAAAAAATTAGTTTTTTCAACTTTCGAGTCTCATAAAATTGCAACGAAAGGACGTATCGAGCCGAAATTTTTTGTGAAAGTGGGCAAAGTACTAGGCAAAGCTGAAAAATTTTTTTGACTCAGATAGCCTCTTGTAACTTGAGTTATTATAGAAACATATCTAAACAAGTGATTGTTGTAGAAAGTTGCGTTTCTCTCATTTAAATGTTCAAATTGAAAAAAGTGATTGACAACAAAACTATGATATCATTAAACAACAACGATTATCATATTTTTAAATCAATTCATTATTAATGGAATGTATATCGATTATGATTCACTTGAATTATTAATTATAAAATATTATCAATCATTAGAATATTTGACATTAAAAATTAGAGTCAAGGATAATCAATTCATTAATGGTCATCGTTTAAAGAATCATCTTCTATTTAAACTCATAAATTAAAAAAAAGATTGATTTTTACATTAAACTTTCTACATTAAAACGGACAATTGATTTAAATCGTTTAATATCCACATTTAAAACATTTGACTATTCAGTTGTATGTTATCATGGTGCAACAGATAATACTTGTACAATACTTTCAAATCCAGCTGATTTCAATGATTGTTTGTATACTATACAAAATAATATTGTGAAATATTGTTCAAATATGAAAACATTTGATATGAAAATGAATAAAATTCAAATATTAATGTTAAATGATCGAATACCATTAACAATGGCATTATTTAAATTTATTCATGATACATTTTTCAATTTAGAAATATTAAAAATCAATATAGAAAAAGTACGAAGTTCTTCATAATTATGAGAATCGATCTATAAAAAGATTTTTGAAAAAGCTTCTTTCGTTTATGTGTTCTAAACGTTTTAATATAGGCACGTTTATTCCGTTCAGATGGGGGAGCAGGGATCCCAGATCTGGTAACGGTAACGGAACCCCTAAGCATCTCTGGAAAACTAAAATCTTAGGAAACCAGGTCCCGGGGTCTAGAAATTTTTGATAAATAATTACATCATACAGAGCAAACATTTCTGAATAAAATGAGGCATTTCCGAGGTCTATACGACATTTTTTCGTGAAACAGCATTGAGTTTATGAAAGACCCCAAGGTCATATTTTTCTCGTTTTCCCGTTAATTTTGCTGATTTTAGTAAGGTAGGTTTCCAGAGATGCTGGCTTCAGGACTTTGGATGAAACCTTTATATACATCAAATTAGATTGAAAATTCTTTGAACTGTTCAAATCTCTTTTCAAATTGCTTCTAGCTATTATGGTCGACAAGAAAAAGCAAAAATAAAGGTGGGCCAATAATTTTGTTGCCCACTATGTACGTCTGGAAAGCGAAAGCTGCAGTCGATTTTTTAGCTTTTTTGATACTATAACACCACATTTTGGAAAAAATAATTATACCATTTGACAGCGCTTTAAGTTTTCTATCAACCTGTGTATTCAGATGTTCCCTTGCTCTTGTTCATTGGAAGAAAAATTGAGTGAAATGAAGGCACCCTCACTGTCAGATTCCCAACGATTGCATTTTAGCGCGGTCTTCTCAATTAGTATTTTAAATTCATCTTTATTTTAGAACAGCCTTTTAAAAACATAATTACATATTCTGATAGTGCTTGAAATCCTTTTGAACATCTGTTCTAAAAGATTTTTTTACAGACAACGAAAAAGAGCACATTCAGAAGTACAAAAGGAACTGACTTCTCACCTTTGCAACCCTTTTTCTACGGAAATAATAGCAAAAGAAAAAGGTTCAAGTGGAAAAAAATAACAGATTTTCAAAGTTTTCATTGTTTTCTTCTTTCGTATAATCTGCGTAGTTTTCTTGATTGAAGCTCTAAAATTAAAGTTAGGGTATGGTTTCAGAGTCGTACGTTTGATAAAGCTATATCGATTGTGTATAAAGATAATATTTTCCCGGTAGTTTAGAGTTTGAGAAGGCTCCGATACAATGATTTTGAAGAACTACCCAATCCATAGTGCTAGGTATTTTCACACAGGCTTTATACACAAGTTTCAGCGGGGCGAATCTTACTATGCTCATCAGATAGAGCATGTCAAGTTACACATACATCGAAATTTTTTTATTGAAAAAGATTAGCCCTTTGGTGATGAAACAGTGCTTTCAAAAGTACCAATTCCCATGGGTAAAAAAATCGGACTAAAAACGCGTTGTTTTTTCGTTTCTAACGGTAAAAAAACGCGTTAAAGGTTTCAAAACCAACGCGTTGTTTTGGTCGTTTTAACGCGTTTTCTTCTAAAAAGCTCCGTTAAATAATGGGTTACAACGCGTTTTATGGTCGTAAAAAACGGTCAAAAAACGCGTTTTCGTTCGTTTTGGAACGCGTTCTTATTAGCGTTGGTTTTGAAACCTTTAACGCGTTTTATGGTCGTAAAAAACGGTCAAAAGAATAAGTGCAATATAAATCTGAAATAGAAGATAAACATAGAGAAGAATATGTAAGATGTAAACAACTCGGGCAAAGTCAAATAATAAATGATACTACTGAAAGTCTATAACAAGCTCTTCGGAAAGA